CTCAGCGCAGCCTCAGGCCAGAACAATCACACTGAATATACTGGATACAGAGAATTCACTCAGTCCAGGGAAAATGATGCAAGAAGGAAGGACAACGGTGGTTCCTTCAATCCCAGTCACTGGACATCGAGGGTGGGGGACACCTTAGATCAGACATGGGCAAACCCTCCCTCCAAACTTTTCCAAATTATATGACTTATTTATTTACCATTATACCTCAGAACTCCTCAAGTCGTACAAATAAACCTGTTATTGTCATTCAGTCGTGAGGCTGAAGATGATCCAGGATAATCTAATCCTCACCTCCATGATGGGGTTAGAAGCCAGAACTTTGTCCTCCACATTGGCCTCACTGGCAGAACCACTGACTGTAGCAAAGTATCTCATGGCATATTTGGCAGAAACCGTTTTTCCTGCTCCAGATTCTCCGCTCACAATAATGGACTGATTCCTTTCATCCCTGAAAATGGAAAAGATCAATCAGAATTATCAGAACTCTGTTTAGTTATTTTACTGAGAGATGCAGCTGCACAGTCACAGACACGTGACAGAAAATATACCCTAAAATATTCTATGAACGATACGCAGAGTCTCTGAACCCAAACCCAAACCTGAGCCTGAGCTTCGCTGCAGTATCAACTGTATCTGGGTGTTTCTCACACTCAGCTTTATAAAGTGTTAATCTGAGCTTCAGTCTTATTTTCTGTGAAATACTTTAAACATAGTAAATGTAAAGTATATTTTTCTGTTTCAGAAGCGTCTGCTGTGACCGACGTTATAAAAGAAATATATACGTGAAACGAGAGACAGTCCGACCACTCGGCTATTTTTGTCTCAGCGCTGACCCACAAACTGTAAAAAGGGGGGTGGGGGGGGGAGACTGAGCAGCCAGGAGACTGGAAGGATATCTACTCAGGTGACACACACACACACACACACACACCTGGCCATCTGTTTATACGCCTCCTCTGCCACAGCAAAGATATGTGGGTCCATGTCCCCCATGTTCTGACCGCTGTAGGCGTTGATGATGTCAGTTCCATAGATCGGCAGCGGCTCATACGGGTTGATGGCCACCAGAACGATGCCTGTGGCACAGACACAGAGGTGAGATGAGTTCACAGTGGTTCAAGAAGTTCAAGAACAACATTCAGTTCCCACTCTTTATGAACCTAGAAGTCCAGGGACAGTGGGAGTGGAATGATGAAAATACTGTGTGACATAAAGATATATTTATTATTAAATGATAACAAATCAGCAGAACATAAACTATGATGAGAGAGAACAGTGAAATAGTGAGGCTACAAGGAGCAGAGGTGGTGAAGGTGCAGGAGTTTAGGTACTGAGGACCAACTGTTCAGAGCAGTGGAGACTGTGGAAGAGAGGTGAAGAATAGAGTACAGGCAGGATGGAAAAAAATTTCAAAATAATTTTTCAAAAAAAAAATTTGAAATTTTGAAAGATTTTAACCAAATTTTTTCAAAAACTGACCAATTTTGAATGACCAAAGAAAGACAGAAAATCTTTTTTCATAAAAACAGTTTTCAAAAAACAATTTTTTTCAAAAAATAATTTTTCAAAAAAAAAATTTTTTTTTTTTTCAAAAAAAAAAATTTTTTTTTTATAAAAAATTTTTTCAAAAAAATTTTTTTCTCAAAAAAAATTTCAAAAAATTTTATTTTCAAAAAAATTTTTTTTTCAAAAATTTTTTTTTCAAAAAAATTTTTTTCAAGAAAAATAATTTAAGAAAAAATTTTTGAAAAAAAAATTTTCAAAATAATTTTTCCAAAAAAAAAAATTCCAAAAAATTTTGAAATGTTGAAAGATTTTAACCAATTCTTTCAAAAACTGACCAATTTTGAATGACCAAAGAAAGACAGAATCAGGAATGAGGTCATTAGAGGGACAACACAGACAGCAAGGTTTGGAGAAAAAGACAGAGAAGCCAGATTGAGATGGTTTGGACATGTGCAGAGGAGGGACAGTGGATACATTGGTAGAAGAATGTTGGAGATGGAGCTACCAGGTAGGAGAAAGAGAGGAAGGTCAAAGAGGAGATATATGGATGTAGTGAGGGAGGACATGCAGATAGTTGGAGTCAGAGTAGGAGATGCAGAGAACAGGGAGAGATGGAAATCAATCATTTGCTGCAGCAACTCCTGAAAAAAGTTGAATAAAAAATTTTTCTTGAAAAAAATTTTCAAAAAATTTTTTTTCATAAAAACATTTTTCAAAAAACAATTTTTTTCAAAAAATAATTTTTCAAAAAAAAAATTTTTTTTTTTTTTAAAAAAAAAATTTTTTTTTTATAAAAAATTTTTTCAAAAAAATTTTTTTTTCAAAAAAAATTTCAAAAAATTTTATTTTCAAAAAATTTTTTTTTTCAAAAATTTTTTTTTCAAAAAAATTTTTTTCAAGAAAAATAATTTAAGAAAAAATTTTTGAAAAAAAAATTTTCAAAATAATTTTTCCAAAAAAAAAAATTCCAAAAAATTTTGAAATGTTGAAAGATTTTAACCAATTCTTTCAAAAACTGACCAATTTTGAATGACCAAAGAAAGACAGAATCAGGAATGAGGTCATTAGAGGGACAACACAGACAGCAAGGTTTGGAGAAAAAGACAGAGAAGCCAGATTGAGATGGTTTGGACATGTGCAGAGGAGGGACAGTGGATACATTGGTAGAAGAATGTTGGAGATGGAGCTACCAGGTAGGAGAAAGAGAGGAAGGTCAAAGTGTATGGATGCAATGAGGGAGGGCATGCAGATAGTTGGAGTCAGAGTAGGAGATGCAGAGAACAGGGAGAGATGGAAATCAATCATTGGCTGCAGCAACTGCTGAAAAAAAAGGGACAAAGCCGAAAGAAAAAGAAGATAAACTATGATGAATAAAAGAAAGACTCTCCTAATCATCATCATCGACCGTGTTCTGTCAGAGGCTCAGAGAACCTTCTTACCACAGTAGGTGTAGATGAGCTTCGAGTCGATGAAGCGGACTTTGAGGTTGTGGAGCACGGCGGGCTCGTGGAGGTAACTGAGCGCCGTGAGGTCATTCTCACCAACCAGGATGTCAGGGTTCCGCAGATAAGGCAGGTTCTTCTTCTTGGGATCAAGCTTATGCTCAATGTTCTACAGGATGAGCGTGAAAATCAGAAGGGTCACACACACACACACACACACACACACACAAAGGCAAACACTCAAATAATAAACAGAGCCACAGCCACCTTAAAAACATCACAGGACACATCATCAATTAGACACAGCCCTGGAGCCGGAGCATGAATGTCATCGACAATTTTCACACTTTTTTTTTAACTTGACTGAAAGGATCTCTTTTTCACTGATGGCTTTTTAAAAGAAGCCTCTAATTCTTGAACACTGAGTCTTTACATTTAAAATCACATCAGAAAATATCATTATCGAGTTAATTTGTCTGTATATTTGATCAGCGGTTTTTGAAGCTGAAACCATCAGGTCATTGGGAAAAAAACAATTTAAATCTTCACATATGTGTAGAAGATTTTTTTATTTTTATTTATTTTTTGCTTTGTGACCAAAACCCTGGATTTCATAGAAGAGTGGAGACATATTTCCTCAACACATATTGAATCAACACAGTGCAGCTTGAATCCTCACCGTTCCATCCTCCAGCGTCAGCTGCAGGGACGTATCCTCATTTTTATAATCCTTAATCAGCTCAGCAGACTTCCACACCTCCTCCACATCAGGGATCCAAACCCGAGCACGCTGAAAAACAACAGAAAACAACACACACACACATCTTAGTGGGTATATATATTCTTATGAAAGCTTTCTGAGAAATAATATCTATTGGAAAATGTCTTTATTTTATAATACAGCGAGGGAAAGCCCAAGGTTTGGCTGAGCTCAGAGCAGTTCTTAGATAACCCACATCACTAACTGACTTATTATAATCATTGAGTTTGATGGCAAACACACGTAGCATGGTTACGTTTCTGTGGCTGTTCAAGGACTTGTGACTGAAGGTAATCAGCTGATCAAAGACATGTGGAGAAACAGCGACGAACACTGACGGTCACATGGCCGAGGAATCCAGCACACAAAGAATTTAACAGACGACCGGAGAAAGAGTCGGGTCAGTCAGTCAGTCAGTCAGTCAGTCAGTCAGTCAGTCAGTCAGTCAGTCAGTCAGTCAGTCAGTCAGTCAGTCAGTCAGTCAGTCAGTCAGTCAGTCAGTCAGTCAGTCAGTCAGTCAGTCAGTCCATGAGAGAGAAGGTCAGCTTTTATCTGGAGAGTTTTAAACCAAGAGGTCGACAGAGAAATGAACAAACATGTGACTGTGTCAGACTGTTTGAACCTAAAACCATCTGACCATTAAATACAATAATTAACACTGCATCAGTGCATAATGTTGATAATTTAATTGGTGTAAAAACACACTCGATAAAAAAACAAGCAGCAGTTGGAGAAAAGGCATTTTGATACATATACATATATACAGTATATATATATATAGTATATATATATATACATACATGTATACATATATGCTTCACTGTCACCTGTTATTATAAATAACCTGTTCAAACACTAAACACAAACTAATATTTACAGAATTATCATCTGTGTCCAGATGCAGACAGCAGGTCACTGTTGAGTGTCCTGAAGACTGTTGAGTGTCCTGAAGACTGTTGAGTGTCCTGAAGACTGTTGAGTGTCCTGAACTGAAGACTGGAAGACTGTTGAGTGTCCTGAAGACTGTTGAGTGTCCTGAAGACTGCTGGGACATTGTTGAGGCCTTGGGTAAGTGGAGCACATGATTATGAGCACACAGTCTTTCAGGAGGACCAACAGCGAACATTTTACGGCTTTTCTCAGCCTGCTGACGACAGAGTCTGTGACAGAGAGACCTCATTGTCCAGGACGACGGAAAGACACACTTCATCCATTTGTCTGCCTCTTCACTGCCATCGTCTGAATCATGACATGCCCGTCTCACAACAACCCAGCGTCCACCTCACTGTCTCAGAGCTGCAGCCTCAGATCAAATGAGGAAGTGACATCAGTTTAGTCACCGTATAATATACAAACAGCCAAACGACCAATCACAAACCAGTGGTTTTTCATTCCCTTTATTTCATATTATATTATTTCAGTGAAGAAAATTCTCCCACGTCCGTCTGTCTGAGAACAGGAGGGTCATGGTACGGTGGCTATCATAGCATAGCATACTACCAGGCAAAAAAACTCTGGTTTTATTCCCAGCCAACAGGAAGTCAACTGGAAGTCAACAGACAACATGACAAAAATGAAACCCAGACAACAGACAACATGACAAAAATGAAACCAATCAATAATCAATTAACCAAACAAACCAACAGACCATCTAATCCAAACAGTATTGTATTTCAATTAATGTTGGAATTTAGGCAATTAATTAGTAGCTCAAAAAGCTTCACTTCATTAGTAACCAAACCAACATAAAACAGGAACTAACGACAGACTGTTTTAAAAACATGTTTCTGTCTCAGGGAACAGGAAAGAAACAGCAACCTCTCTTTTCCGTCTGATATTTGATGTTGTCTTCTCACCTCTGTCTAGAACGACACCATCACTGGGAGGAGGAGGAGGAGGAGTGAGAGCTGGTGTCAAATCAAGAACTGCACCAATTATCTACTGTAGCTCCAAACCTGCTCTCCTCTCAGAGAACAGACACAATACCATAATCACACGCACAGAAACACACACGCAATCAACGGACGCAGAACTGACGCCTGGAGAAATGTAAAACGTGTGACTGATCCCTGGAGTTGAGGGTCAGGGTCAGGGTTTGACTCCATTCACCTAAGGCTGGCTCTGTTTGTCTGTTTGTTGTTTCAATAATAGAATCTTACAAATAAATTACTTCATGAAGAAAAGACCTCAAACTGACTGTGGACTGTTATCTCAGAGTAGATGTGATGTTTTTAGTGAATCACAGTTAAATTAAAGTGAAATAAAAATTCATCACAAATGTCTCTGAAGGTTGACTGTGTTCATTATCACCGTCACGTGACTACAGTTTTATTCTAAATGATTACAGACACTAAATTAAATCAGTTGGAGTTGAAACTGCGTCGACATCGTAGTCTTAAAGAATTCAAACTGCATAAAAGTGAAAATTGAACTTATTGTCGTGTTTATTATCAAAGTGCTGAGTACAAAGATCTTTATTTTGAGATTTGAAAATGATTCAGTTTGTGCTTTGAGTGTTGGTCGTTAACTGACTAATTAACACCTCCAGTACATGTCATCCTGTCAGGAGCTCATTTCACAGCTGCTGGAGTTGAAGGTGTGGTGTAAGACGGAGCAGATGATAATCCTGGTTCAACTGAGACCAAGAACCAGGCCCTGATAATTCTTCCTAAAGGTTTAACATCTGCTAATCCTGTTTCAGTCAACTACGCCGTGGCTTTCATTATATTCTCATTTAGCCACAGCTTACTGCTAAAGTAAACGCTGCAGATAAGTAAACATTAAGCTGTCAACGTTAACTAGTCTTAACCTTAACCTGTGTCTGTTGTGTTATATATTTGACATGATAAAAACTCCACAGCACCAAACAGAAATGTCTCAGAAATATGTGTCATAAAATACAAGTTTCAATTTACTCATAATTTAAAACCTGGCACTTTTGAGTTGAACACAACACTGATATGGTCAAAGGAATTGAGGAAAGACTGAGCACAAAGAGCTAATTAATCAACACTTAATCAGTTCTGCATCACAGTGGTTGGGAATCACTGATCAAGATGAACAGGAAACATATAAAAACAATAATTTGGTCTATTTTTGGCTGATGTGTTGTGGCTTCATCTTTCTCTCTTAATAAGGTCAATAAAGTAAATGTAAACTGTAAAATATACGAGTGAAATCTGTCACAGAGTGTGATTGACAACTGGTTCATCCAGAAACTGAGTTACTTCTCAAACTTAATTCAAAAACGTGGAACCACGTTCACACGTTAAAAACACTACAGTGGTTGGTGGAGGGTTGGGTTGTGGACAGGAATGTGAAAAGTGTTTTGCAGACTCCGTCAATGGAGTCTCAGAGTATAGAGGCTGTCACATGATGCCACTCGTGAGAATCTGCTGTTTTTCTGCTCAGCTGGGCAGACGCAGCATGATGCTGAGGTTTGGAGGTTTAGAGGTTTGGAGGTTTGGAGGTTTGGAGGGAGCTCAGTAATGGAGACACAGACGTTAGAAATGTGGATGTCGTTGACGAGTTACTCAATAATTATTATATGAATATTTAGTCTTTCCTGAACTGAGGAGGGCAATGAAAATGATTTTTTTTAACTTACAACAAAATTAAAAAAAAAAAATATTACAAATGCGAGCAATGATAAAGATTTCAGAACTTTTGTTTTGTCAACCAACCAAAAACAACAGAAACAATTACTTTTATGAAGGATTGAAGCAACTCAAACACAGTCACATCACAGAAGTCATTCATTCATTCATTCATTCATTCATTCATTCATCTCTTCAGGTTCTATTCAACTTTAAAATGATATCATCAAAACTTGTCAGATTTTCACCAATATTTAGCTTATCATTGTAGCTCCACTGTCTATTACCAAAAGAAGTTAAAAAAAAAAATAAAGACACTGACTGGAGCATCAACAACTGCTTTAACATGAGATATTTTTGGAATTATTTCACTCAAACACTGACATTTCTAACATTTAGATGTCAACATTTGTGGACAGTCAATTATCTATATTTACATGTGTTCATAAATACACTCCCCACATCACTCTGTGCAAAACCACATCAGAAATAAATCCTCTGATAAACAGTGATGGTGACATTCAGATTGAAAAACAAGCAAAATACCTGTTACATTTCAATCACTCACGTTGCCTGCCTTACTCAGACACAGACTGACTTTAGTCCAGATGAACCCAGAGGTCAGTCTGTCAGTCTGTCAGTCTGTCAGTCCATCACACTGACTGACCTTATAAAAAAGCCTTTTCTTTCGCTGACTAACGTAATTCTAACGTAACCATTTTTGCCACATCACGTCCAGATACCTGCTTGATAAACAAAGAGAAAATAAGACACTTACATCACTGAACATAAACTCCATCTCCCAGTCCATCTTGTCAAACCTCTACCTCATACTGTGAGTCTACAGGAAGCCTCCAGCTGCGGAGTCAAGAACAGCCACACAAATTAGGATGAGACCGCCCATTGTACGGAGACGTGGTGTGACGCCCTGGGACAGAGACCAGTCCTTCCTGATCCTCCATCACAGCCACCGCGTCGTCAACAGACTCTCAGACCAAACAGACACTGATTGGCCACCAAACCTTGACAGAAAGTCACCGTTACTGTCACGTCCGCACTGACATGATCAAACTCTGGCTGTGAATAAATGTCCTGACTTTAAAGGTTCATAGAACTGTCTTAACAATGTCAAAAAAAGACAAACATCAGCCAAAATATTACACCAAAATAAATGAGTTCATTTTTGTCATTTTGACCAAATAAAGAAGTGGTAAAATAATCAACGTAGTCCTCGGCTGAAGTAACATCTACTGGTGAGTTGACATTTTGTAGTTGTCCCGTGGTTCAGTCCTCACCTCAGTGTCCAGTTGGAGGATGTTAGAGAAACCACTGGACAGAAACGGGTGATTATTTGTGGCAGAGCAGCTGCAGCTCAGAGATGTGGATGTGACTGCACGTGTTTGTTAACCAGCTCACTCTCACTCAACATGCTGCTTCAAGACCGACCCCGACCCACACAGAGGGCCGAGTGTTTTAGACCAGTGCAGCGGAAACACAGGTCACTAATATCAGCGGAAAAACACACTCCACCATTCACAGCTGGGACTATTTATAAGGTCGCCCTGACACACACACACACACACACACACATCTGTGGATACTGACCACCATCAAAGCTTTACAGTCTGACTGTAGGTTGTTCACCTGTACTCCAGGAGCCGGCTGCTTTCACTGACACTGTAGTTGACACTGTCAGAGAGGTCACGACCCACAGATGGGTGACAGGAGGTTTACACCAGGTCTGACCAGAGAATCTGACCATCGGAAATGGTTGAACCAGGACGATGTCGCTGGGCCTCACGGTTCAATGTTATGAACAGAAACAAATATAAATTCATGATTCAATGGTGCAACAGTTCTGTGTAGTATCTAGTAATACAACATCATCCAACCATGGAACCTCGGACCAGGACAAATTCTTTGTCTGTTACGACAAGACTAGTGGTTGTCAAACAAGGACTGGGTCAGCTGATGCTATTGTCAACAACGTGAGGACACGTCCCTGTCAAAAAACATAAAAATAAAAATGTCACAGACCAGATTGAAACAAACAACTGTGGCGATAGAGTCAAATGTAAAAAAGATAAAAAAGTCAAGGACAAACGTCACTGTAAAAGACATGTTTTTAGTGGTTAAATCTGAACACACCAGCTGTCAATGACGGTGGATGACTCATGCACGACACACACACACACACACACTGATACACACACTGATACACAAAGACACAGAGAAAGGGGTGAAATCTTCTTTTTTTTTTAAGTCATGTATCTCCTACAGCACCACCTGTGATGACCTTGTGGGTCTGTCACACTGTCACACTGTCACACAGTCACAGCCCGGCCGCAGCCCCGGGGCCTGTGTCCGGGTGCTAACACCGTCCAGGATGCTACAGGGTCCGGATGCTGCACTGGTCGCAGCATCTGTTGACGAACCGTCACACGGTTCACGGTCAGTCAAACAACTGCGTTAGACGAAGCTGACGAACAAACGGCACCGGTGACGTAGAAGAACCGACACCACGGCGTCTGAGAGCCGCGGTGTTTTTAGTCCGAAGACAAAGATGTTCTGATTTAAAAGCCTCCATGATGGCTGGCACCGCCTTTGCATCATCTTAGCCTCCGAGGAAGAGGAGGAGGAGGAGGAGGGGGAGGTGAACGATGAAGGCCTCACAGGGGACATTGTTAATGTTATAATGTTTTAAATGAGATAATGCTAGTCACAAAAATAGCATGGCTGGGTTTAATCAGATTTTTTTTCTCTTTTTTTTGAGGTCGGTGGCGGAAAATAGCGCTGAGTGAAGACAACGACGAGGTGGCGTTTGTGTCAGTTACAGCCCCGTCATCACTGTCACCTAATGTTGTTCTTTAAACATCACAACCAACACAAAACAACAACAGCAGCAGCGGCGGCGGCAACAACAACAACAGCAGCAGCAGCAGCGGCAGCGGCGGGTTTTCGAAGTACACACATTCATTTTCAACCGCCGAAGAAAACGTCATGTACAAACACATACACACACACACACACTTCCCGCGGCCAAACATAGAGACGTCAACATTTTCCAAGAGTTTTTTGCTCATTCGACTCACATGCTACCACTCACAGACTCAGCCTTGTGTACGTCGGTGTCTGCGTGTTCTTATTACCGTGGTGTAGAGCTCCAACGCTGCCATGACCGCCGTCGGCTACGTCCTCTCTCCGGTGTGCGGTAAGACTCCGGCGGCTGCTCCCCACACTGCACGAGACCCGCTGCGTGTGTTCATGAAGCGGGGGCAGGAAAAAGGGGGGAGACGGAGTCTGTCTGTCGTTCTGTCTGTCTGTCGGTGAACTCAGAGTGGAGATGTTTACTCCTTTATCTGATGGCCATGTTCACCTGAACCACTCCAGGCTCCTGCTGCTCCTGCTGCTGCTGAGATTTCGGCGTCTCACTTTGCATTCTGGGAATGATGGATGAAATGATTCAGCCAAACACCAGGAGGTAAGCTGGTAGCCCTGGAAACTGCACCACCTAGTGGTTACAGCTTTGTAATGCCCCAATAAAAGGAGTTTATCTTTAAGATGGAATATCTCGTGGTGACGTTGCATGTTGGTATTGGATAAAGTTTCGGATCCTTGAATTTCTCTCTTTTAAAACAATAAAGGTAATTACTGTATCTATCTGTCTATCTATCTGTCTGTCTGTCTGTCTGTCTGTCTGACTGTCTGTCTGACTAGAAGAATGTTCTGCTTGATCGTTATGATACGGTTATGACCTATAGAAGTGACTAGAAGAATGTTCTGCAGTTTTAATTACCATGTTATTGCACACACACCATTAAAATTCCCCACTAATGTCATAACCACGGTGAATTCTTCAACGAACTCTGAAACTTTATGTGGAAAACAGGGCTGTCATAATTACAGCAACAACAGCGCCACCACCAGGACCACAAAACCTTTATTATGATGATTACATTTATTAGCCAAACTGTGCAGTGTAATAAAATTCTACTGTCTGCTTGTTTGGTGGTTCAACGTTGCATGTCATCTGCTGGACGTCACAACATTCTCTGCTTTAAGACTAAAAGTCAAAGTCCCTCAACAGCTGGACATGTGTACGTATTTACACATATCTAAAAGTGTGATCATTCTTTGTTTTTGTTTTCCATTGTGTTCAGTTTGAAACAGGAAGTATTGGAGAACTTACCTGAGGGATAGCTAGCTTGTAGCAGCTAAGACGTCTCTGTTCTTCAACATAACCAACCAGGTCACTGATTGAATGTTCTTGACATGTCACTGCTCTGTGAATCAGACTAGTCAAAGCCTCTTAACTCAATAAAAGACTTAGTTACAGCTCTTTAATTAGTCCGCAGAAAGGGCGCTGAAATTAAGACATAAAACCAGTTAGAACCACAATTAAAATGCAAGGAAACATTTGTGCAAAACTATTTTATTTACAAAACATGGCATAAAGTGACAGCAAGGCAGCCACGCACATGCACAGTTCAGACAGGTGCAGCTCTAGCTTCAATTTACCACCAGGTAAATCTCATCCAGTCAGCAAAGACAGGTTCAAGATCAAACTGTTCACCCTCACCCAAGTCATGGACGTAGGAAACCAACCTCTTCATTCTGCACCCCCCAAAATCTGCCCCAAATATTCTGACAAGACATACATGTACTTTTTACTGACACAGCTACAAAGACTGGTCCCATCTGACGGTAGTTTGACCTTCAGGCCACGTCCACTACAGCCCCCTCCCCCCACCCCCCCACCAGCTGCCTCGATCACAAACATTTGGAACTGCATTGTTTGTCCAAAGGAGACTTTGAGGCTAAAATGCTGGCTAACACCTCAAATATTCTGAATCAACCATTCCCTTCTGCCTGTTCTAATTGTTGTTGAAATGTCTGTTTACTATGTCAGAACTGATTTAAACAAACCCCAGATTGTTCTGTACCCACGGGTGTTTAACACCGCTTGTCCACCGTGTTGTACTTAATCACAGAAACTAACTGCTGAGTGGGTGATACAAATGTGATGTTTCTCTCTAAGGGCCGTGATTTACTCTTGTTGTGGCCACACGTACAGAAGATTTCCCAGAAGCCCATACCAAAGCTGTCCAATCACACCAGGTGCTGCTGCTGCTGCCCTCTCTTCTGTCAGTTAACACTATGATACTTATCATCCTTTTTTTTTTTTGATCATGAGAGTCACAGTTCACTTGTCACATTCGCAATTAGTTGTTCTGTCTTACAGTCTATTTTACATAAAAATAGGAATATATGGGCAATGGAAATGTAAAAGTACAGTGACAGGAGAAGTTGTTTTCGGGGGTGGGGGGGGTGGGGGTGAGGGTCAAATGCAAAGAGAGGGAGCCGGGGAGTGAAAATACTGGGGGTGGGTGGGGCTGAGGGACAAATTTAAAGAGAGGGAGCCGGGGAGTGAAAATATTCAATTTAAATCAGCTAGCCAGGTCATTCAGTGAAGAACACCAGATCTTGATGATTAGAGTTAAGGCCGCTGAGAACAAAGTGGAGGCTGGGAACGGACGGAACCATAAGAAGGATGGGAGAGTTAGTGTTGCAACTCTTGAGACTTGAGGAGAGGGTGAGGGTTGGGAGGTGCAGCAGGAGATGTCAAGGCTGTGAGTACATCAGCCTGCCAGTTTACTGGCCACGAGGGAGGGTTTCCTTTGGGGCAGGTCCTGGGGGGTGGGGATGTGGTCTCCTGTGATCTCTGTCTTTTCCGGTGCAGCAGTTGGAAGTTGTTTGTTCTTTATTTTAGCCTTAGCCATGTTGTAGTCCCCTGAGTCAAAGTACTTTTGCTGCAAAGACAATAACATGAAATGTTCACTGAAGTTAGAAAAACTGTTATTTTGCAAAGACAAATTCAGGGAATGTTGAACGGGAGAATATTCTAATTCTAAAAAATATGTATCTGTTTTAAATATAGTTTTGATTGGAAACCAGCTTATTTCAATATACATAGAAAAGATTATAAAAATATTCTATATAATATTTAGAGAATTTAAATAGATACACATTCACCTGTTGCAAAATATACTATATAATATTTAAATAGATACACATTCACCTGTTGTAGCAAATTCTCTTTCAGACTCACTGCCTAACGTCAACTTCACTGTGACTTTATGGAAGTCTGAGAGTCTAACAGACAACCCAGGTGACAACGTACCCCCTTCTGTAGGCGTTTGCGGAGCAGGTCAGAGCCTCCAGGTTTATTTCCCAGGTTTGGATACCTGGCCTTTAGCTTAGCCTCCTCAGCCTTCTCTGGACTGATCACCTTGTCCTGCAACTCCTGGAAAATAAACATGAGACACTGCAGTTTTTGCTAGAAAACTCACAAACCCACAAGGAAACGTGCACACTTATGAATCTCTTGTATATTTCCTCAGAATTTTAAATCGAAATTCTTCTGTGGTTTCCTTTGGGAGATTAAAGATAAGTAACATTGTCAGTCACTGGGTTAATGAAGATCAACCCTGCTCTCTATCACACAGTGATGAATCTTTCTCTTGGTATATTTTCCATTTTATTTGTTCTCATTCTTTATGTCCACATGTAATCAGACTTGACATAATAGACATGATCTTTGAGAGAATACTAGGATAAATAATGACTGATATTAGACATTTTAGGAGAATTAGACACAGACTAGACGACTTCTGCCCACGAAAAATGAACGGTAGCAATGTCCATTTCAATGTTAACTGTACAGCATAAATGCACCACAGGTCTAGGGGTAAATTGCTATTACAGCTATCAATCTTTGTATGTGACAGCTGGGATTGGCTCCAGCTTCAATGGCGTCCCTGAATCAAGAGGTGAAAGCTGGGAAAATAAAGAGAATTTGAACTTAAGGGCAGCCATTTCCCAAATGGAAAAAAAAGCCATAAAGTGATTCTTGAAAATTCCTCCTTTGTGATACTTCTGTGTTCTGAGACTAGCAATCCGTTGGTAACAGTGGTTATCAAATATTACTAAATACGCAGCTAAATAAATGCGATGGCAGTAGCTGGGATCGGTAGTTGGAATTACATTTTAGAGTTAACTTACCACGATACAAGCTTGACTAACAAGGGGTCCTCTCGGTGTGCTGTTATTTTCCTGGATGAGCTAGCGTTAGCTCTTTAGCTAACGGCATAGCCGCCAGTGTTAATGTCAATGACAGCCGCTAAGCTAACACTGGCGTTAGCCGTACACCCGACATACACAGCAATCGTCCGACTCTGTAAAGTCGGGCAGCAAACTACATCCTGGTGAGACAACTATGTCGTGTGATTTCACGATTTTAATAAAGTCTAGAATTACCTGCAAGATATTGTTGATAAATCAACTAAAAAGAGTCCGAGGCGAAAATGATGCTAATGCTACATAGCATTAGCAACAGCAGAGAGTGCAAAGCTCGACCTCCTACCACCGCTGCACGTTTATTTACCTTATCCTCCACTGAAGTCTCCTCTCCCGCCTGCGTCTCTTCGTTTTCCTCTGACATGTCTAGATGTTCTCGGTGAATTCGGAGCAGAGAATGAGTTGGACAGAGATCCGAAGTACAGCCGTCCTTATTTTCCCTTCCTACAAGACTGTTACTGCCGCCGAGCGCTCACTCTCCTGCTGCACCAGACCGACTACGTCACACCCGAAGTCATCGGGCGCGCTCACGTGTGGCTCCTCTGGTGCTCGTGCACTTAGATTATGCTTCACGTCTACAGCATCCTTAGGATGTTTACTTTAAGTCCATGTTTACGGATTTATAGAAATATTAATATATATATATTGTGAAGATAACATTTTTGTTTCTAAGTATTTGCTTAGAGAAAACGTCTTAATCGAAGCCATTCCTTTTCTTCAGGAACCGATACTAAATATTGCTCTGCATACAGAACAACAAGTTTGATTTCATGCAGCAGAATATTAGCAGAGCTGCAGAGATCGACATTACTGCCTGTATGTGTCACAATTTCTGGCATTATGTTGAAGAAATCCCTGCACTCACCCACAGGTCTGTCCTAACCCTGACCTCAGGTCTGTCCTAACCCTGACCTCAGGTCTGTCCTAACCCTGACCTCAGGTCTGTCTGTCCTAACCCTGACCAACCCTGACCTCAGGTCTGTCCTAACCCTGACCTCAGGTCTGTCCTAACCCTGACCTCAGGTCAATCCACTAGGACACAGTGTGGTCTGGGACCAGTGTCTAGTGCTTGAATCACGTCCATTACACCACGTGAGGTGTGTGGACATTGACATGGTGTCTTCATGACGTGACCTCTGCATCAACACACACAGTATTGTGTGTGTGTTGATGCATTGGTTCTCCATCACACCTGGTGTGACCGTATGAAGAGAGTAAAGAACAAAGAGACGCAGCAGAGCTAAAGTTTGCTTCAGAAGATAATATAGATATATTTTTTTTCAGATTTGAATATTAATGTCAAAAATACATACTATGATATACAGTTTGCACTACATCATCTTAGCATGACAGACGTCACAAGTAGTAACTGAAATATTAATTTAAATATTAAATAAAACTGACGATAGTTAAACTGAAAGTGAATGTGTAAACACTAAACTAAGGTTATCTTTTCTCTCTATTGCAACACTTCCGATAAAGTGGTTCTGTAACAGTACAAAAGTATTAGAACTTTTTTTTTTTTTTTCATTTCCAGTTTTGGGAAGAAAAAAAATCCACAGTGCACTTCTGATGTCCTGCTGTGATGTTTTCTGTTGAATCGTGGTTGATTGCTTGTCCGACTTCTTAAATGGTCCATCGTTTGTGGGGTTTTTTCTCAGACAATGGGATGGCGTTGCAACGTGTCTCTCAGGGTCAGCCTTCATTGGTACCCCACCTCCCCCTCACCCACTCTGTGCTCAGAATCCCAGGGTTCAAGTCGAGTTCACATCTTAGCTTTTGTCAGGGTGTCGTATTGCTTTTTTAAAAAGAAAAAAAAATAAATCACACTTTAAATAAAGTTGGTTAAAGTCAAATTAATATCAGTAAACAACAGAAAAGGAGCCTGAACTGTTTTGTCCACTATCTCTCTGGTAGCAGAGGTTCCCAGGGTGAGGAGTGGCTCCCCCTGGTGTGGTAACGTCATCCTGATCTAAGTATTTTCCTTACATGTGTTAAAGAGGAGAAGTTGTACTGGTTTGTAATTGTATTTTCTTTGCTCAGTGACAATAGATTTTCTTTAAAAAAGACGGTGTTTTTAATGATGTGAAGTTGAGCAGCAGTTGCTGTGAATGTGTTGATGTGGCAGCTGGAGGTACGGGGGGTCAGGGAGGTCAACACCAGTACAGAAGGGGGCGACGTTTGGGAACGACCGTCTGAGACAGAGAAGATAGTCAACAAAAGAGCGGCAACAACAACAACAACAACTGGTCAGATCTTCACATCTTTTTAAGCTGGGGCCCAAACTGACCACTGACTCTAACCTGACACTGACACTGACCTTTCCCATCAAAACTCACACAGCATCAGCTGACCTTTCCCATCAAAACTCACACAGGTTTACGTTTTCTCAGGCTCATAGCCCCCCTTCATCTGTTCTTGGTGGCAGAGGTAAAATTCAAGGGTGAAGTAAAAGGACTGGAGAATGTCGTCCACTGCTGTTGATCGTCCTCATTGTTTTTTTGAACAATATCGCTGGTACTGAGAGGTCACCGAAACGTCTTGTGGACGATGGACGGACAAGTCAGACCTCAGCAGCGAGAGGAGAACGGTGGGTCGACAGGCGACTCTGTGAAGGACTGGAGTTCGTAGGCAGCACCGCTGTCCACCTCCATGGACTTTCTGGAGAACAGCAGGCGGATGTCCCTGTGGAGGTAGATCTTTCCAGACTTGGAGCTCTGGAACCTGTGTTGAGTTGACAAACAAACACAAGAAGGTTAAAAGTGAGCAGAGAAATGACCGGTGCTGGACAGAGACAAAGGGTCTGTGGTTCAACCTCAGATGAACGAGGTAGCGCAAGGTGCGTCCGTGGCCCATGGCCAGAGGCTTCCTGCTGGTCTGATTGTTTGATTCACGGCGAACGGGAACAGAGAAGGTCCTCTGTCGTAGAAAGGTCTGGTGTCCAGCTGGCATAGATCGTAGGTCGTACATCACAACAAACATCTTCACCACCGTCTTGTTTGGGTTAAATAAGGTCTGAGACCAGAAAGCACAGACAACAAATGTTAATCAATAAATGTTTGTCAAACACGTATTAGTCAACTTAAGAAATGACATGGATCAGCTCTGATTATGTCATGTAAACAGGTGGGGTAAATGAGGCCGACAGCCAATCAGAACTATGTTTGTTACATTTAAGGTGTGAACTGCAAAATAAACCCAGATCCAAATATAGTGAATGTGTTTCCAATAGTAGAATAAATTTAAAATCTAATGAAATCAGGAGCAGGAAAACCTTTCAACGTTTGTCGCACAAATTCACTAAAAAAGACTAAACCGTAGATAACATCTGGAAATAAGGACATCCAATACTTTAAAATTAAACTTTCATCATGAACCTCCAGGGGGCTCTGTCTCCCTTTTGGCACTAACACCGTGTTGGTGGATGTTTGTTTTCTCACCACTTGAATGGTTCCTGATGGAGGTACACGGTAGCCCCGTTTTCCCAGGGACTCCAGGTTTATGACGCCCTGTTAAAAACAAACAAACAGACCATTAAGAATAAACGGACGTTCAAACACTGGACTGGACTGGACTGGACTAGACTGGACTGGACTGGACTGGACCGGACTGGACTGGACTGGACTGGACTGGAGAGAAGTGGTCGTACCATATATGGTGAGGGAGCGTTGTCATCAGAGACACTGTAGAAGAATACGTCCACAGGTAAGGTCAGGTGACTGGGGCAGAAGGAACCACTGGCTCCAACCTCTGCCGTGAATCCCTCTACTGTCCCTAGAGGCTCCAGGCGGTAGTTCAGCACACACTCCTGCAGGAGCAGAGTCCAGTTTCACAGATTGTTGACTTTAAAAAAGAATGAAACTGTGACAGGTTCATGTTTATGTGTAGTAAGACAGTGATATAAACACAAACGTTTATTTTTAAAGTCAGGCTGATCTTTAGGATCCAAGTTTAATGAGCTGAAACCTGATCACACGACTCAGGTCGTTTGTTCTCACCAAGGACTCAAGGCCTGAACATGGGACGGTTTTTTTATGTAAAGTCTTTTTATTTTTTTGGTTAACAAATAAATCTGGACGGTAATATTAGAATCAGAGATAATGACAGAGTGTAATTAGCAAACTGTGTGTGTTATTACCTCACCTTTGTTTTTCACTGGTCAGTGCTCCTGACATGACTGCACTGAGAGGATTTTAAGATTTGTGCCTTGTCTGTTTTTATTAGAAAACTAATTTTTGAACGCTGCACTTTTCTTTCAAACAATTTCCTGCCGTCCTGGTTTTTTGCTGCAGTTGTTTTGTTTTTCTTTTCATTCTGACCAAAGGCACAGACTTTAACAATCTCCGTTAAAGCTTCTCAGAATTACAAAATGGTTCCAGACTCATTTGTAAATGTGACTCTTTCATCGAAGCCAGACTGAAGAAACACCGCTGCCAAACCCGGTTGGACTTTAAGTAATTAGATTTTTTTTTTTTTAAATGTAAGACGACTGTTGGAGTGTGTGTTTACGTTGATTCTTTACCTCAAAGTTTCCCAGCAGACTGAGACTGGCAGGTGGAGCACTGGTGCTGAACAGCTGCTGTGACTCATCTGTGCAGCCCTTTGGACACACCCTGGCAAACACACACACACACACACACACACACACACACACACACACACACACACACCTGGTCAGTGTGTGATGATGTATCAAAGTGTCTTTAAAGTTCTGACGTGACAAATATTACAGATGTTCACACTGTCACCACTGAATGGGAGAATGAACGGGTGTGTGTGTGTGTGTGTGTGTGTGTGTGTGTGTGTGTGTGTGTGCGTTTAAACGACGCCAAACACCAAAGTGTGAAAACATCTGCAAAAAGAGCGAAGCAGCACGAAGCTGCCGCCCACACCTGCTGGTGTGTGTGTGTGTGTGTGTGTGTGTGTGTGTGTGCGGCAGTGCCACGAGGCTGAATGTGTGTGAATCAGGATGTGGAGCTTCAGCAGGTGGTGGTGGTGGTGGTGGTGGTGGTGTGAGAGGAACAGTCAGCAGAGCAGCAGTGACCTCATCTCTGAACCTCCTCTGGGTTTGAAGGAGATGCAGGAACAACAACAACAACAGCAACAACAACAACAACAACAACAGCAGCAACAACCACAACAACAACTAATATACATAGTACGGTGGATAACTGGGATGAATCTGTGAACTTTGTTAATTAATTATCACTGTAAACAGGTTCATTTTGAGAGACCTCGTTTATTCTGTACTGTAAATCAAATGTAGGACAAATGGGAACATTTGATGATCTGGACTTGGTTTCCATGATGAGTTTGAGCTTTGACTGTGATTAGTTCCGTGACTGTGTGACTGTAGATGAAGTGAAGTGAGACGCAGTGATAAATTATTTACCTTTTTCCAGAGGCCCAGGGCAAACCCTTACAGCCAGTCAGAGAAGTGTCCAGGTCAAAGTACCCAGTTTGACTTCTCCTCTGAGGAACCTGCAGCACACACACACACACACACACACACACACACACACACGTAAACAGGAACAGATTTGTCTGAGTGTCAGATTAAAGACACAGAACAGGATGTGGAGGGTAAAGAACTGAGATTTAACGTTTCACTGCATAAAGACGTGGCGTCTGATGAGGCACAGATCGAGTCACGTGGAGTCACACACACACACACACACATATGGTACTGTATGTGTGTGTGTGGGTTTACATTCACTTGGTAATGTTAAAAGAACTCCTTTGTGACGTTTTCAGTCTGTGATGACAAACGTCGACAGTTTACTGTGTGTGTGTGTGTGTGTGTGTGTGTGTGTGTGTGTGTGTCTTACAGGGCTGGACAGCAGTGGCAGGCCGGTGCAGGGGTGGAAGGCCTTTGTCGCTGTGGCGTCCAGAGAGTGGCGGTTCTGTTTCTTCCAGCTGTTGCAGGGACGCAGCGGGGAGGGGCTGTGAGTTCGCTGGACCAGGAAGACGGGGACAAGATTATCATCAGTCCAGAGACAAAGAATCCTCTGCATTTATCAAACCAGGATGTTTTGATGCCCCCCCCCCAAAAAAAGAAATTGTTGTTCTTCTGGATGAAAAGACCTGGCTGTTTGGGGGGGGGTGTCTCTCACCAGTACAGTAGGATGTGGAGTCACATCTGGACTAGAAGTCCTGGTCCATCGGCACACTGTGGGAGCCTGGTTCTCGTCCTGGGGGGCTGCGGCCTGAGCTTGGACACAGTTCTGTGTCGTCGTCGTCGTCATCGTCGTCGTTGGATGAGGCTGAGGCTGAGGCTTCGTGTGGTTGTGGTTTGTGTTACAGTTTGTGGCTGGACTGGCACCGTGACTGGTCCAACTGTAAAACTGGACATTCCGTGGACACTTCTGGAAGGTGGGCAAGGCTGAGTGGGTTTCATGGCTTGGGGGAGTTCGTAAACACTGACCAGTCTGGATGTGCAACTGTCCATTAGGTAAAGGTTCTTCAAGTGTGAACGGAGCACCATTTTGGACCCGGGGTGAGTGGCGGTCGGTCCCCGGGTCGGACTGGGTCTCGTCTGTGCAAACGGGCGCGGGCGCTGCAGCGGTGCGGCTGCCGCTTCTGTGAGGTTCGTGGCCGGGCGTGTGGCCGTTGGTGTAGCCGTTGGTGGCAATGTTCGAGGTCTGCGGGATGTGGGTGACGTGCGAGTATGTGCGGACAGTGTGTGTGACTGTTGTCGTGTGTGTGTGGTGGACAGGGCTGCTGCTTCTGCTGTGTCGGGGGGACAGTGAGGGGACGGACAGCCTTTCCTGAATGAGTCTGGTGATGTCCTGCACGGCCTGGGCGATAATGGAACTGTCTCTGTCTCTGTCAGTATCCCAGTCCTTTTCCTTCACTCTGTCCCTGTCCCTGTCTCTGTCCCTGTCCCTCTGTCCACTCCTCTCCTCCTCCCTGTACTTGGTCTCAGTCATCTTCAGCTTCCTGCAGGCTGCAGGTTTAGGAGAGAGGCTCTCCCGTTTGCTGATCGAAGTGTCAGTCAGGGGTGTGTTGAAGGGGCTGGCTCTCAGCGCTCCCATGGACTCGTAGGGCGGTACCTCAGGCTCTTTGGTCTTACTGGCAGTTATTTCCTCGTGGTTACTACCCCACATGGCTTTAGGAGGGTTGTCACCAGCGAAAAGGCCGGGCGGGAGTGGCGGCGCTGTGGGGTCGCAGAAGTTCAGCCTCTGTGCGATGCGGGCGATAACTTCCTGTCTCTCCTGCAGCAGGGAGCCAATCAGGGGATTTGTTTCGGTTGCAGCAGGTCGTGGGGAGGGGCAGCGAGGAGGTTCAGCCAGGGAAATATTCTTAAAAGCCCTCAAAGGTTCAGGGACAGACACCTTTGACCTCTCACTGCTGTCCTCCGGCTGTGGAGAGTCTGGAGAACCATTCAGGGAGGAGTACAGCCACTTCCCTGCCTTACCTGTGGGGAGTGGAGACGGGGAGTGGGCTCGAGGGGGAGTGGAAGAGTGGGCAGGTCTGTGGAACAGCGGTGAGCCCTGAGGTGGAGGCGTGCTGACCTGTGGAACATCTCCATTTTGATAGACGTGGTTGTCGGCAGGCTCCTGGCTCTTCTTGCTGAAGGGCGGTGGGACGGCCGTGTGGGGGAGGGAGTTGATGGGGATGTTGTTGATGGGAAGATTAGGGACGGGCAAACCATTGAGGAGGAGACTGGACATGCAGTTGGAGCTCTTGCTGTACATGTTGGAGTTGTGAAGCAGGCCGTCCTTCCCGGGGTCCGGGGTCTTTCTGAAGGCGGGGAGACCACCGTGGCTGTGGTTGAAATTTGGATGGAGAGTGGGTGTTTTTCCGTAAAGCGGGGGCAGGCCGGTGTGGATGCTGCAGGCCAGGGTGGGGTAGGTGGGCTGTCGAGGGAGCGACTGGACACGGACCTGCAGCGCCACACTCTGGGACACGTTAGGGACGGGGAAAATGTGCTCCGAGGGGGGCTGAGAAAACTGCCAGACCAGCTCCTCGTCAGCAGCACTGATCCTGATTGACACAGGAAGTCAGTCATGAGCATCATCACCTCCACAAAATGGATTTTTAAAATAATAATAATAACATGTATTTGTTAGAGGTGTATAAGTACACACTGATGTATATAAACAGGACGTGCAGTACAAATGTTTGAACAGGGTTAAATAAACGCATCATCATTTAGTTGAAGTCAGCTACACCGCTAGTCACACATCAAACATGACGAGACAGCGTCATCCAAATGTCACCACGACTGGTACCAGTGAAAAAGCAAAAGCATATTTATAATAAAGTACTGAACCGTGACGTGAATGTTGAGGTACTTTTCTGTATCGTTAATAATAAAGTACTGAACCGTGATGTGAATGTTGAGGTACTTTTCTGTATCGTTTCACCCTGAACATTTATAGTTTTCTGATGACTGGACTAAACCTCACATCACTGTTACTGTTAGTTCCTTTATTCATACAATTTAGCTGCAAGGTGAAAAGTTTTCAGTTGTCTGAATGTCTGACCTGTACAGGATGTTTCTGGGGACGATGCCATGTGAGGCACTGAGCCAAGCACTGAGCTGAGAGAAGAAGACGTAGGAGCGAACAGCCAACAGGAGGGTCTTCTCCTCAATGAAACGATCACCACTCCTGAAAAAAAAAAAAAAAAAAAAAAACCCCACAGCTAAAGGATGTGGAAACGTGCCAGTATGTCAGGTTAATAAGAACGCGGTTTCTTCCACATGTTAGCAGGAAAGTGTGCCAATATGTCAGGCTAACAAACCCTCTGAGTGTAGAGTTAATTTCAATGTTTTTTTTTCTTCTTATTTTTATCTTCCTGCTTATTCTATTTTTAACATCGACAGACTTATTTGGCTCCAACCTTCTCTTTGTAAGATTTAAAACCCCTACTGTTTAGTTTTTCACATTTACAGGCCCATAAATTCAGGAGTCAGGGCTAAAACCTGCAGCTTTATGTGCCGTTTTCTCTGGATCAAAAGTAAACACTAACAACATTTTTGTTGTTCCTTTACACTGGAAACATCAACGACACTATTTAAAAATCAAATGTCCTGGATCCAGGTTGAGAAATCTTTCTTTTTTTTAGACCTTTTTGTGTCGCCCTAATGTGGCCTTACTGTCTTGGAACCGGCTGCAGGGTCCATCGTTCCAGCAGGAGAGCGTCCTGTTTGATGACTGGGTCGCTGATAAGGTCACTCGGGGGGCACTCGTCACCATAGCAACAGTCTGGCAGGAGCATGACCTCGATCATGATGGGGATGCTGTTCCTCCAGAGCAGGATCACCTCCGAACGGGTCCGCCTCGCCTGCCGACACTAGGTGAGCGCGCACACACACACACACACACACACACACAGACACAGACAGACAAGGGTAGCAGGTTAGTGATGGTTGATATAAGGTCATCAAAGAGAGATGACTCCAGAGAGCTTCACTCACTGCTGGACTTGTCCTGTCCTTAAGGTCAATAACTAATTAAACTGAACACATTTTAACTTAATTAACTTAAAATTAACTGAACTAATTTATATCTTTTACATTTGAGCATAAGCAGTGGCACAAAAAGATATAAAATGTAAAGAAGTATGAATTCTCGAGCTGTGAAACCGTTCCTTTGATTCTCTGCTGTGGCTCTGTTCTGTGCAGCAGTGGAACGTTCTCCACTCCATTTATATTAATGAGGCAGAGCATGGGCACAGTAATTACACCGAGGCTGTGATGTTTCCCTCCAGGTAGAAAAGGTTGGTTGGAGGAACATCCATTAGGAGAAATTCAATATTTGACTCAATTGTATTGTTTTTGTTTGTAGAATTTTAAACTGTGTCATCATTAAATGTAAGGCCTTTAGAAATAGATAGAGTTTGTACTGAAGGTTCATAAGACAATAAGTTCATATTCAGACTGTTTGAGTCTCTTCCTTCGTTGTGACAGAAAAGTCACCTGACCAAACCCCTTCAATCGAGTTTGCCTCGAGGCAGGAACAGTGTTAGCTACCTGGGGCAGTTTGTCGCTGCATTCGTGTTTGTGAAGCGGTGGCATTGCCGACTGGGCCGGTGGACAGTGCAGCCCCTCCGTCCTACCCTTGACAGAATATTCCGGCGTCCGTCCCTCTGTGATGAGCAGGGTCAGGAAGACCAGGAACTCCTCGGCGTCGTACTCGAAGAACTCCTCGGCTGCATCTGGAGGAGGCAGAGAAACAAAGGTTACTGGACGTTCTCTTTTTCACATGTCACTACAAAAACCTGCAGCACGGTTTCACAGTCGTGCTGTAAATAAAAGTCTTCACTGCTGTGGTCATCACACCTGTTTGGTTCTCCTCACATTTTCAGCTGGAGTTTCAGCTTTGGCTTGAAAAGCTTGTTTTGAGAAGCAGCTGATGAGTCAAGTGTTGGTGTTGTTGTATTTACCTCCATCATGTCAGCTGAGCACAGAGGTGTAACCACGCACACACCCGTGACATCACACACACACACACATTTACTTCGCCCCTGGACGAAGAATGACGTGAAAACAATTAATAGAAAAAACCTTTTCTGTTTTTTTTCTTCTGATCCGTAAAAAACATTTTGGGAAAAAATATCAACATCAACAAGTCACACTGAAAAGTATCATTTGATTTTATTGGCTGTCTAATTTCAGAGAAGCCTTGTGATTGGACGGTGATCAGTCACACAGAGGCTTTTCTTTCTTCCTCTTAACTTTCCAAAGCTAACAGTCGGCCATGGTGGCCCAGGTCAGTACAGCAGTGGGCGTGGCCTGTTCACCAGGATGTTGTTAGTCTCCTGTCATGGCAACGTCCACAGAAGCCTGCTCTGTTTGTGTTAGTGTGGAAGTTAGGAACTAAAATAAGGTATATTTTTAGCCGTGGACTGAGGAGCCCTTGTTGGCTCCGTCTCCTCCTCTCTTCTCTCCAGAACACTCCCAGAATCCCGCAGGAGGAGGCAGCTAATATTCAGCAGAAACAGGACCAGGAACAGCCTCCTCAACAATCTTTGGACTTTTCCCAGGACAAATCTAACGTCATCACGGAGTGCAATGTTGTTGTTTTTCTTTACATTTCTTTTTTTTTGCCGTGAAAGTCAGTCCAGCGTAAGGACAGAGACACAGACACCGTGTCCTCAGTATCAGAGCAGGGCTGCTGAGGACAGATCCCCTTTCAGCTGGCTCTGCAGAAGTGTGAGCTATAAGCTGTTGCATGTGTGTGTGTGTGTGTGTGTGTGTGTGGAGGAACACGTATTTCAGCCAGCCAACCAGTCACGCACAGTTCTCCCAGGGAACTCCTCCCACATGCCTTTGAGCTGCTGCTGCACGTGGAGCGAGGCGCACTCCAACACAAAACATGAGGGGGGGGGGGGGGGGGGGGAGGGGGGGCTGTTGGCCCGCCGCCGGCCGCACAAGAACG